TGTTTCGTTCTGCTGTGCATGGGGTCGCTATGAGTCGGAAACGACTCGACGGCACTTAACAACAACAACAACAAGGGGCTAGTGGGTAGGTATGTTGGCTTTGATAAATTCTGTATTTTGCATTGAAAGATGAACCAAAGCCACAAAGGAGCATCATGGCGCACAGACAGGTGAAAACCCAAGTTAGCAGAGAGCTTTCCTTGATGCATTTCCATTTTTCATATGACAGAAGAAATCATTAAATCTCTATGTAGGAATCACGGTCATTGATGGGATGTGAACCACTCAGTGGTGGCTTCTACTGTTCTTTAATGTCTGTGTTCATTTTGAACCTCAGAGAGTGAAGGGGATAGTTGTGAAGGGGATTGAGTGAAGGGAATGCAGTTGAAGAAAGGAATTCTTCAAAGCCATTGAGACAGACAGGGAATTGGGCTGGCTGAAGCAAGCAGCCCCTAACTCAGTATTCTTAAAATTTAAGCCTATGTGTGGAACACTATGTAACTATTGCTGCTGGTGACAGAGAACTTCTTGTGATTAACAAGCCAAGCTCTTAGGAAAGATAAGAAACTACATTTCAAAAGCCCCACAAGCTTGACCAACTGTAAAATGCTGATAAGCCTCCTGAGTTGTTCTTCAAGTACCTCTCCAGGTGCAGAGCATACACAGTAAATTTCAATATGATGGACACAAAGTGACCATCCACCAGAGACAGTCAAGAACAGGAGTCCCTGGCTGGAACTTGAACCAGGGTCCAGAGACATCACGCATGTGCAAGATCCCAGAATAAATCATGTCAAGCATCCTAGCAGCCTTTGGGACAGGTTCCATCTTTGCTCCAACAAAGATGTGGTGGAATCCATTTTGCCTGTTTTCTGTGTGCACATCTGATCTTCATAACTCCACCTCTTTCCCAGAGATCCCCACCTATTTCATGAATAAAGATGATGCCTTTTTCCTGCCTAAAATGCTTCATAAGCCCTAGGCCATCCTTTGTTTGGAGAGAGATAGATGGGAGACTAGTGTCAGTGAAAGCTCCTCTCCATCTTTCCCTTGTGATGAGCTCTTCCCTTTCTCTTTAATAGACTTTGGTTTGTGTTGGACATTTTGCCTCTCCTGTTCAATTATTTGCCAGTGGAAGGCAAGGACTCTTGCTCAGGGTCCCAGGACCCCTAGTAACACTATGGCATATTGAATTATTGATCTTAATCTTCACCCTCCTCTTCCCTCTGCCATGTAACTTAACTTTACATTCCATGCTACTAGAGCCAGTGTGTAATTTCTCATCCCTTGATTTTGAGCTCAGTCATGTGACTCACTTTGCCCAATGCACTGTGGGTAGAACTAAACTGAAAATTTCAAGCCTAAGTCTTAAAAGGCCTGGCATGCTTCCAGTTATCCTGTTGCATTTCTGCCATTGCTATGAGAAGAGCTTTCTCCAGGTGGCCTGGGACACAGACTAAATACACATGGCACAGACATGAGCCTCAAGCCTCAGCAGATCTGTGGCTTAAGTAGATGCCCAGCTGACACTACAGCAACTTGTAAAAAAAAAAAAGGCCTTAGTGGTGCTTACGAAAATACCTCCTAGGGGTGGGGAATGGTTGGCAAACAAACATCAAAGGCACATGTTATTTGTGTAAAAATATGGTAGTCTGAATGATTCCACCCCTACTCACCTGCACGTGCTTCAGAAACAAATGTTTATTATTATACTCTATTATGATTTTGTGGTTGTTTGTTACAAAGCAATAGCTGATTGACGCACGTTTGCCCTGATTTGGGAAAATATCTTACATGTTTTGCTATTGGGCTTAAAAAAGGGTGAAATGACTTAACATTTTTGTGGTTTTACTTACATGGTCACATTTCAGATACACTTCATTCATACCATCAGCAACAGGGATTAGTAACTTGATTCCAAATTTTCTTCCTGCTACATTTACATCTGGTACAACTTCACAGCCTGAATGGCAGAAAACAGGGACAAAATGAATTCTGATAAATTTGCTATACAAATACCAGGTGCGCATCCAAAATAAGGACTAAAATAAGTCCTCTCATGTTTGATTCTCTTCTGAAAAATGGAGGAGCAAGTTGATAACATCAATTAATAGATAACTTAATAAGACTTATGAGATATTAGGAGGAGCTGTGGTGGCACAGTGGTTAAGCACTCAGCTACAACCCAAAAGGTTGGCTGTTCAAACTTACCACTTGCTCCATGGGAGGAAGATGTGGCAGTCTGCTTCCATAAAGATGATAGCCTTGGAAATCCTATGGGGGCAGGTCTACTCTGTCCTATAGGGTCGCTATGAGTCAGAACTGACTCAATGGTAGTGGGTTTTTGGTTTAGGAGCAATGAACATGGGTGAAGAAAAATGATTTTAAAAATAATTTTCAGAATTCAATTTTTTAAGGCGATATTGGCTAACCTAACTCATAGGAGCTGTTATGAACATAAGCTTGGAAATAAAGCAGAGGGAGTTCTCTGATTGCCACCATGATAAAGGAATTGAGTGCACTGGTTAATTAAATATTTCTACAATTAATAAAGAGATAACACAGTTCCTTTCAGAAATTAAGACAAGCATTAAAGTGACACTGAATTAAACATAACTCAGTTTCTGGTGTCAGCAAGATTTTCCTACTCCTACACTAACTTAAATGCCATCCTATGGACATCAGTTACCTATGTTCCATAGAATTTGGCACAATGGCCAAGAAGGGACAGCAGAATGCAGATGACCACATTTCCTGTACCACATTCAAGGCTCATATACCAGGGTGAAGGGGAACTGGATCCAGGCTGCCATTTTGAAGTAGTTACATAATAGATGATGTTCCATGAGAATTAAACCTTGCTTCATTTTGTAGGAATCTTGCCTTTAATCTGCTCGCTGAGTCATGACCAGATACAGCAAGATGCAGGACACTAGCCGGCCACTCTTACCTCTAAGATTTAGTTTTTCTATTGGTTCTCCTTGCTCAAGTTCTTTATTTTTAAAGTAGGCCATCGATGTGTCTTTAAAGACGAACCAATATTGTTTGAAAGCTTTTAGTATTAGCTTCTTGGGCCTGCAAATTAAAATACAGTAAGCATTTAAACAGCCATCTAAAAATGCGCAACATACCACAAATTTCAAGCAAATCAAGGTCTCCAGAGTTTCTTGTAAGCAATATTCATTTTTTTAAAACAGTTGTCAAATTGCTAACTCATTTCTAGATACTAGAAATGGGTTTTTGATATGAGAGGTAGAGTTAATGCATGAGTTCAGGAGTTACAGCACCTGGGTCCACATCCTGGCTCTGCTACTGATCAGATGTGTGACTCTGGAAGATACGTTATCTGCCTGGGTCACCTTAACTGCTTCTGTGTAACAGGGATAGTAATAGTTTCTAATTCACAGAGCTTTTTTGAGAACTGAATGAAGTAATTTTTATAAAATGTTTAGCTCAGTGCATTATTAAGTGATCAATATGATGTACATGAGACCCTGGGTGGTGCCAACATGCTTGGCTGCTAACAGAGAGGTTGAACGTTCAAGTCCACTTAGAGGCACCTTGAAAGAAAGGCTTGGCAAGCTACTTCTGAAAAACTAGCCATTGAAAACCCTGTGGGACATATTTCTTCTCTGCCACACAGGGGTTATCATGAGTTGGAATAGATTCTATGGTAACTGGAGGAGTGTGGGAAAAACACACGAATCTAGTGATATTTGAAATTTCAGCATACTTCCGGGATCTGAAAGAGCTGGGATATGGGCAGTTTCAAGTTATCAGACATAAAAGCAAACAGCCTTTTCTGTAGTCTCCCCTTGACTTTTAAGAGAAACCACCAGAGAAGTACCAGTGGGCAATGGAAACCACCAAAAATCACTAGCTATTTTATATAGTCACTATTGTTATTATATACATATATATTTGGAAGATATAACAACAATGAGGGCTAACAAAGTTTTACACCTGGGCTAACAAGGTCAGAAGTGACAATGGCAAGGCAGTTAGTGGAATAATTTTGGTTTTAGGGGCTGATCAGTATTTCTCATGCCAGACAAAAGGCCTTTTGTAAATGATGCAATGAATGAATTTTACACGTAAACTTTCTCTATAATACTGTCATGGAGTTCTTTTATTTATTCCAAAGTAATAGTAGTTACATCTTACAGATTTTGCACCAAACATAATTTTTATCAAATATGCAATTACACAAAAACACACTGCTGTCAAGTCAGACCTGACTCCTAGCGACTGCTCCTTGCATTTCCGAGGTGGTATCACTACAGAAGTAGCTGGCCCCACCTTCTTTCCGAGGAGTGGCTGGTGGGTTTGAACCACCAGCCTTCTGGTTAGCAGTCAAATGCCTTAGGCATCAAGTCACCAGAATTTATCTTTTATGGATTCACAAAAAGCAGGATTCTGAAAAGTAGTTTGGTGGGGCATAAAATTTCAGATTAACAGTCATCTTTCTTATATTTTGAAGATATTTTCCAGCCTGTGTTCATTGCCAATGAAAAATCTGCTGCCATCTAGTCATTGCTCCTCTGCAGCAAATTTGCCTTTTCACTCTGATTTTAAAGATTTTATCATGTCAAAAGTTAGCTTTATCAATATGTGAATTTGTATGGCTTATTATGCTGGGAAGAAGTCCTGGTGGCATAATGGTTAAAAACATTTATTTTGTAACAAGGAAAAGAGACCCCAAATTCAAACAGGTTCAGTAGAGACACTTGTGTTAACCCTTGGGCAGGACAAAGACAAAACAAAGAAGTCATCCTGGATGAGGTAAACTACCAACATGAGGAAGCTGAATGGAGTCTGCTGAGTCATGGCCATGTGGCCAAATATATATGATTTTTTTTAAAAGAAGAAATCATCATAAAATCATAATTGGTGGTAGATAGATTCCTATAGTGGCAGATGGGACTACAGAAGCAAGGAATTGAAGATAGAAAAGGGTTACAGGATTGGTTCTGGGCCTTGACTAGCTGGCTAGGGGGTGAGCCAGTTAGGCTGTGACTCATGACCATGCAGTCTGAGTCTTAGCCACACGTGGCTACCAAACAAATACCAAGACCCCAACCTTAATTTAAATTAGAAAAGGACACACTCAGGAAAGTTCCCTAGTAGCCTATGTGAGTCTAATCTACTTTCAACCATTCTCTTCCTGAAAGCAAACTGCTCCTCCCTAGGTTTGTCCTGGAACTTGTCTATGTTAGCCACAATAGTCATGTTGTTGTTGTTGTTGTTGTAAGGTGCCATTGAGTCGTCTTTGACTCATAGTGATCCTATGCAAATATATAGTCATAAAGAACCCAAATAGTATCTGAAACTTATGTCAAGCTGCAGGATGGAATTAGGGCTCCCATTACAGACCACAGTCTCCCAGAAACCAAGTGCTGTAGAATTTAAACTTGAATACAGCTTCTAACCAAAAAATTGGTGACTTGAACCCTTCAGTTGCTCTGTGGGAGAAAGATGAGGCAGTCTGCTTCTATAAAGATTTACACCCTTGGAAATCCTATGGGGTTGGGAGTTCTGGTAAGATGGTGGAATAGGCAGACAAACTACACAGACCCTCTTCAACAAAGAAAAGGGGAACCAATTAACAGAGATACAGAAGATAATCCTAGAGCCCTGAGCTTTGAAAGGAAGGATACGGAAGTGGACTAAACTCCAACTAGTAGAAGAATCTGCATGAAAACACTGATAAAGGAGACATACGGAGCTGCGGTCTGTCAGAGATTCTGACGGCATGGACAGCTTGGATATTGCCAAGTGGTGTTAGGATCTAAGAATTAACCTAAAAGTCAGCCCTGCTAGCCAGAGGCTGCACAGGGGACTGCACTGCTGGCTGGTGAATAAAAGGAGAAACAGCGAAGATGGAGACGGACTGAGCTGTGGAGTTTTGGCTGTACGGAGGGTACAGCAATTTTGAATGTTTACAAGGGGTTTGACCATTTTGGATATTTAAAGTGTCAGAATTCTGTCAGATTCCAGGCACCTAGGAATAGGCTCATGGACCTCAAGGACATTCTGCACATGAAAGACTGGAAAGGTGCAATATTCCCCTTGTTACTCTTATACCCCACACTGTCTTGGTGAATGGAGATATGGTTATCTCTCACTCCCACCCATCTTCTGGGTGGGCAGGAATTCCATCCCAGTCTGTGTGCTATGACGAGTCTGGGTGATCTGCCCCACCCTGCTCAGATTTTTTCTTTCTTTTTTTTTTTAAAGTTTTAGTTTGTTTTTGTCTGTTTAAAAATTATTATTATTATTCTTTTTTCATCCTTTGTATTATTATTCTTTATTCTTCTTTTCCCCAGTTCTAGTTTTTCAGCTTTTTCTCTCTTCCCTGTTCCTGGTCCCCATTATTTTCTTTCTCATGGTTCTCCCCATTCCTTGTTTTTCCTTTTGCATTTTTCCCATTTTTTTCTTCATTATTCTCCTACTCTACCTCTTCTCTCTTATTATCCCCTCTTCAGATATTGCAGGTTTTTCTTTTTCTTTTTTTGGTGATTGTTCCTGTGTTTCTTGTCTGCTTGCTTTTATTTTTTGATGGTTTTTCAATCATTGTTTTTGTCTGTCTCAGTGGGAGACAGCAACCATGCCCATACAACACAACCACACCTGCACCTTCTGCAGCTCCACTTACTGAGTGAGAGCTACCACTTCATTCTCTACCAACTGGTCAACAATAAATGACCACTCACCCTTAACTGCTCTTCACAAACAGTTAACAGAGATCTAAATACAACAATGTCACAATGACTTGGAGACAACAGACCATCACAATCCACACAAAGAAGCAAGATAAAGTGGTAGAAACAAAGGAGCAGGATACAGACCTAGAACACATCCCTGAGGAAGAAGTAACATTAGAACTCCCTGAAAAGGAATTGAAAAGAATTATACATAGGTATCTTCAAACTATTGCATGACAGATCAAGGAAAACACTGAGAAAATTAAAGATAACCCAGAGAAAACTGTATAACAATTTTGGAATAAATACAAGGACAAAATGACAAAATAAATAAAAAATTAGAAAGGATACAAAATCTACAGATAGAAATCCAGAAGATTATACTAAATTTTCAGAAATAGATAACACGTTAAAGGACAAAGGAGTAGAATCGAATCAATGGAAGACAGATTTAGTGAGACTGAAGACAAATATCTGAATACTTCTTTGGAAAGGGATCAATCAGAAAAAAGATCAAAATAAAATGAAGAAAGCCTAAGGTTCATGTGGATACCATCAAAAGGAGTAACCTATGTGTAGTCAGAATTCCAGAACAAGAAGAGAAAAAGAAAATCACTGAGAAAATTGTGCAAGATTTGTTGGAAGAGAACTTCCCTGATAAGATGAAACATGACAATATATCCATTCAGGAAGTCCAGTGAATCCCAAATATGATAGACCCCAAAAGAAAATCACCAAGACATATCATCATCAAACTCATCAAAACCAAAGACAAAGAAAGAATCCTGAAAGCAGCATGGGAAAAA